ACACACACACACACACACACACACACACACACACACACACACACACACACACACAAAGAGAGAGAGACAGAGACACACATACTCACATACATACATACACACACACACATGGCGCGGACCTGGGTAAAGGAGAGGGTGGAGTGTGTACTGGGTGTTGGTAGCTGTGACTTATTTACATACCTAAATAATCATCTAGCTTTTATTAAACTCCCCAGAAGAACATGGGTGGATCCAACCCAAACTGCATTTACGCTATTATCTTACAAAACAACAACAACAATAACAACAATACAACAATATAGCCAAACTATTGATAATCATTTTTAATTGATCCCTGAGACAACAACCTGTACTTAATTGACTCATGACCTAGAGCCTAGACAAGTGAAGTCAAATTTATTTCTGCAGCCACAACACGACAAAGTTGCTTCTGAAAATATGTTGCAGTCTGTACAACAAGACACCATCAGTCTGTTACGTATGACTCAGATCCACACATTAGACAGCAGTAACAGACAAATTATAAGTATGCTTTCCCAAATAGTTAAATATTACTTAAAATACACAAAATCTGAGTTTTATTTGTGGCTAGAGAAAATACACTAGTATCATAAAAATGTGGTCCATTTGTGGCTATGTTTTGTCTCCATAACATTTTAAAGCAGCATTAGAAAAATGGTACAGTATTATAGTTGTCTTATGTGTTTTATTGGTCATGATGAAAGTTGTTGTTTTTGTTCCTTTTATGTTGTTTTATTGGACTTTGTCGTCACTGATACTTTGACTGTATTTATTTATTTTATTATTTTATTTATTTATTACTTAGGAAAAAAAGATGCTTGCTGCATTCTCACACGTGCTCATATAGATGTCCAGAAACCACATAAGAGGGAAAAAAAACAGCAACAGAGAGAGAGAGAGGGAGAGAGAGAGAGAGAAATCGTCGGTGTGTTGGTGACCTTGCCATGACCGAAGAAAAGAAATTTCACTTCTCTAATATGCAGGGATGAGAAGTGGAGACATGTTTCCTTTTATCCCAGCCACTTCCTGCATTTAACCCATTGAGATACCATTAGATTACATCACCTGCCCTGATTCACTCACCCAGTAAGCAGATTGATTAGCAGGTCAAACATGCACATGCAAAGGACTGTACCAGCAGTTTTGAATGTTTTATCCCTTTTGTTACAAATCACAAATACACCTTAGCTGATCATTTTTACAACCTGAATGATCCAGAAAAAATCTAGTAAGAGGAGCTTGAACAGTTTTATAAACCTTCATTTGAATGATCTATGTGTTTAAACAGTTAAAACACTTTTTAGATACGGCTGTAAGGATTCGTTCATGTAATTACAGCTATTTTGCATCTATTAACTGTTTATAAATTAGTTATGGACGCTTCAGAGAACAGGTAAATACAATAATAACTAAAACTTTAAATGTAATAATAATAAAATATGTCCTTATATCTGCTTACAGATGGTGTATTAAAAGATTTACTGTTTATATACTGATTATAATCGCTTAATAGGGGGTTAAAGTGTCAAGTTGTGTGCACATCACAGTGAACATCAATTCCGCATTCTTTTTTGTCAATGCAGATTTGTTAAAGCATTATAACAAGGCAATGCAATACAATATTTTAAAATCAATGTGCACTTTAGTTGCACTACTACTGTCGGTGATACACTGACAAAAACTAATGCAGACTCTGTCTTTAATATGGTTGATTTCACAGCTCCAAGGCTTGATTACCAACCGGTTAATGGGGCCCTGGGGCAGTCCCACGTTCACTGCATATCACCTCATTTTGGTAATTTGATTAACTGCCAATTTGACAGGGAATTTGGACCTAAAGCGCAATATCAACTGGAGTGGGGAAGCATTATTACCAAATCATGTAACCCTGTCATGTGCTGAAGTCTTGTGTCAACATTTAGTTTGAATGCCCTTATTATTTTAGTTTATATTGCATCTACATGGTAGTACATATTCACAACTGCAAACAAAAGCAAAAAGGAATAGTGGTTGAATTCTGGGTGTCTGGGCATATAATGAAGTTGCCATACCATACACACTGCGAAAAGGGCGGTGACAGAGGGGTTAATAGGGGCTCAGCAGCTAATATTTGCCCTGGGGCCCCTCACCAGGTTAATCTGGCCATGCACAGCTTCACAAAGTCATACCATACAGAACTGAGTGGAAGCAAGAGGAACCTGGAACTGTAGAAAAAATACAAAAAAATATCTAAAGCTGTTCAACTGTAAATTAAACAAGATTTAATAGTTAAGCTTGTGAACTTGTAAATTCACTGGCATGGTCCTTTAAATGACCATTTGAATGGTCATAGTAGCACTCGTATTTATTAACAGCCAATGACAGAAATCACCCAAAATACAAGGACAAATATGTCCTTTACTTGCTTTATGTTTAGGGACTACACAAAACAAATTTATGATCAGGATAATTTGATTATGTTGAAAATTTTCATGATGAATTCAATGCACTTGGTTCTGAGGAAGCCTCTCAGATGAGAGCTGAAATGAAAACATCTTCAAGCATCTATAGTTTATATTTACATTTCATCTCTTCTTGGATTCATCTCATTGTTTTACTTTGTGTTTATTGAATCAAAGAAGGATTTAAAAACTGGATTTTAAAAGGAACTGAATGCAGTTACTGAAGTCCTGTACTACTGTTTCTGAGGTCCCATTTTTCACTCCTACTCCAGTGTACAGTTCAGAAGGAAATATTGTACTTTTTAATGCACAGCTAGTTAGTTAGCTGCTTTTACGATTAAGATGAAAAAGTTTATAAAATACAAGAAATTCTTAACCAGTAGTTTTTAATCTTGTGACCTCTTCCAAAAATACATGTCCATTGTTTCTAACTGTGTGTATTTGGTGCATTTTTTCACATTTTAGATGTCAATGATTTTTTACTATAGGTCCACCAAGGAAAACATTCCCCTCTAAACTTCCCAAAGAGGTCAAATTATCAATATAGAGAAAAGTTTTCAATGAATGAGTACACTGTATATATGTGTATTAGAATTTTTTTCCTTTCACATTAATCATTTCCGACCTATCAGATTTACCATGAAACCCTTTGGAGGTGGTCAACCCCCCAGATGGGGGGAACCACTAAACCAACCTATCAAACTGTACAAACTACAGTATGAAATAACAGAGTCAGTCACAGAGTCATTTTCTACAGAGTGAGTACTTTTAGTACAGTACAGTATATTTTGTTGATAATACTTTTCTACTTTTGCTTGCAAGTAGGAGGTTGAACACAGGACTTTTTAGATTATTGTGTTGGTACTTTTACCTAAGAATATGCACACACTTCTTCCACCACTGTTTAAAAGGAACAACATTATCAATGTGGAAGCTTACAATGAAAACACCTTTGGGTTTATCTTTTCAGTTTATTGAGTGGGTAGTACAGTATGTCCCTTTTCCCTCATGTGAAGCAGGATCTTGATTTTCTCTCTCAACAAATGGTTAAAGTGAGGTATTCAGTCTTTCATAGGCTTAACATAAAGCTAAGCCTGAATCCTTCAAGACAGCTGACTTGTTGGCCCACGCAAGGCTGCATCACTGTCAAGAGTCAAGGCCACATCTTTCCTGGTACACAACAAGTCTTAGAGGAGACTTTCATGAGCGTCACATTTTAACACCAATCCATCAGCTTCAGTTCACACCTTCTGCCTTTAAACTCTCTGTAACATACTACAAGTTAAAGCAACAGAATCAAAGGTCATTCTCTTCATTCATTCTCTTCAGTTACATTTATAAGCTTTTTATATTGGGTGTGTTTTACTTTACTTGGAGACAAGTCATAATCATTTTGTGTTGAACACATCCAGTGTTGCTTCAGTGCAATACTGCAGCCTGCAGGTCAAACTGAGCACAACACCAGCTGATGAAACACAATTTATAACAATCTAGCTTTCTAAGAAGGTCAAAATCCATGTTTTTATACACAGTAATGTTGTTGACATTAGTTTGACACTTAATGAACCACTGTAATGACCAAATTCAACAAATCAGTAACACGCTAACCCTCTATTTATCAGTGGATGTACCGTGACCATGTCTCACTTATGGCTATATAACTTTATTTAATATATTTTCAATTTATATTTCCAGTCATTTCCAAAGGCACACTATATACATAGACTTTAAATGGCAAAGGCACAAAAACACTGAAGGATAAAATCACTTTACATGTAAAAAGGCTTGACAGTGGTTTGATTCTGTACATTCTTCTGCTGTATGTTTACAAATCAGACAATATATTTTCAAAACTTGAACTGTTCTATATAATATTTTGAGTGTTTATGACTAAAGATTACAGTACATTCTTATAGGCACCTTTATAGTACATTTTTTCTTGTAGTTTGGGTTCCTGTCAGATTAATACATTGTTAAATTGTCTGAATTTGTCCTGATGAAAGGACATCATGCAAAAATAAATGTAAACATCTGCAAAAGTTAATCAAAATGACTCCATTATAATATGGTTGTAAGCAGCTATAAGGCTTTTAAGTGCTTATTATTGCACAGTATTTGTCAGCAATTAAAACTTCCACTATGAAGATATATTTTGTATTATTACAACTGTATTTCACTATATTGTCATTTATTATCTGTTTATACCGCACCCTCCATTTATGGGTGTCCACAAGAGGAGATATATTTGTTGACAGATATATTAATAAGCACTTATATCTGCTTACAGCTACAGTATATCTATATTTAGTGTGTTTTTAAACGTATTAAATATTTATATAAGCTACTGCTCATTAATGAATAATAAAGCAGGGATCACTTAACAGTATGTTAGTCTGTCTGTGTGTATTAAATTGAACATTTAAGCCCTTTTTTTCTAAATCCCCCTCTTTATCATGTTCCTCTCTAATAGGCAGGGGTAATCAAGGGAATAGCAGATCAATGATTGGCCCTCAGGTGACATGTGACCTATAGCTGTTGACTTATTACCTGGAAGAGTCAACTTCTCCGTACCTGGGAGTTCACCGTGAAGGTTAGGCGGGCTCTCACTCTTGGACTGACAGCATCAATTTCGATGTTTTTAACAGCTGGATGTTTTTATCCTCTTTCAGCAATGGCGACAAAGAGGCAGTTTGGATGGCGAAAGCTGTTTCTGATCCTCACAGGTAGGCTTCATGCTTGTATTCTTTCTCTTTTCTATGAACCATTACCACACCTTTATGGGATTATCACCTGTGTTAATCATTAATCCAATGGTTTGCTATTCACCCGGAAGCAGGTTTGTGTTTTACTCAGAGGCCTGTGGAGAAAACCATTTATATATGTATTCATCTATATTTGTGTATATTGTATATTTAAAACCACAAACATAGTCTTGTTTGAATTGGTCAGATTAAATCATATCAATTTTTCTCTGTCCCCAATTTACACGTTATACAAATACACGTCATTTTCTTTTGTAAAAACACCAAATCAACTAGATATCTGTTGTTATGTGTTTGTTTTTGTTTCAGTACTGCCCTGCTGCAGGAGCTTAGAGGTTTCAATTCCACAGAAAGAATATGAAGTCGCAAGAGGAGGCAATATTACGTTGACCTGTTCCTTCATCCCAGCCCAACCAGACGCCGTCCCAGCCGTCCTCACATGGGAAGCTTTCGCTGACAATCCTACTGAGCCAATGGTGAGAGGTTCTGCCTGCAAAATGTGCGATGGTAACATTTTCTTAGTATAGTATTATTGCGGTAAGCTACCACAGGGGGAGCTCCACTGATTTTACACATGAAGCTCAGTTCACTTGTCATGTTGAGTCCTACCCACAGTCTTCAGGGTTATTTTATCTTAAGGTGGGAGCTAATAAATGTGTAACAGAAAGTAAAACTTATGGGCGTGAAGTGAGAGACATGGGTGATGGCCAGACAGTTAAGGTCAAATGAAAAGACCTGCCTGTGAGTTGAATTATTATTTGAATGTCCTCTCTGTCTTGGTGCCATCTGATATGTGCAATAGTGAATTATGTGCAAGAGGCAGTCTAGACTTATTCATCAAGTCCCCAACAGGTGTCCTTTTTAATAAACATGCTATCAGTATCATATCCATTTTATACTTATATTATTGTAGACCTTCTAATCTTCGACTTCTCAATTACATTCTCATTAACATTCTCCACAGAAAATGTTACACACTAAAAATCACTGGGTTAGAAATGTTTCCAATATGGACCAACATTGCTGCCACAAAACAGGTTAACATGGCTTAACTTTAGCTATGGGTAGAAAACCACCTAAAACAAGCCGTTATTTTGACCCAGTAACCCAAAAGTAATATAAAAGATAACACTGACACAAAAAAACTCATTGGTACTGGATAAAGTTGGTGCTGTATTGATCAGCACTGATTTAACCCAGTGATTTTTAGTGTGTCTACAAGATTTTCATATCAAGACTGTGACACTGCCACTTCCTGAAATGGACAATAGACACTTCCTGAAATGGACAATGATCCTAGTAGTGAATAATAGTTTCCATCACAAAAAAAGAAATATGACCTCTGCTTTGCACTACAAACTCAACTCTTTCTCTAAGCAACAAAGGAGATAATCTTATATTTAGATTTAAAGTCTAGTCTGACTTGTTTTGAGTATGTATTGGATTATCTAGTACTACTCAAGACTATTTGACTTAACTTTATATTCATTAGCAATTTTAGCTTATTTGGGGTTGTTTAGCCAGATTTTCATTTTTCATGAGTGTTTCAATTTGTGTTAATTCTAAGATCAATCCATGAAATCGCTCATTTTGTCCAAAATATAAAGATAATCTGTTTACCATCACATAAGACAGATAAAACAGGTTGGAGGGGTTGCTTGAAAAACAACCGAAGTTCAATTGACAAATCGATTCATTGACTATTCGTTTCAGCTCAACACAGATATAACCCTACCTACAGTCAGTTCTATTCATATAGCTTAAAATCTAAAACATGTCATGGTAACTTGTGACATGACAGTGATTATTTTTGATACTGCTGAATATTGAGCCAGCATTGTTATGATATCATATTATTATACGATACTGAGCCGATATCTTTGTACAATATGTTGTGTTATAGAAACCTGTGGCCAGCTTCTTCTCGACGGGTGTGATTAACATTGCACCTGGTTATGAAGGCAGAGTCTCTGTGGAGTATGACAATATCAACCATGTGAGCACACTCCATTTGACCAAGGTGATCATGCAGGACAGCCGTCGATACCAGTGCGGTGTCTTAATCCCCAATGATGATGAGGGAACAACAGCTGCCATCACTTCCCTTTTGGTCCTGGGTGAGAATTAAACACCGTACTTTATTTATCTGTCTGCTGTGCATAACTGTGTCCATGATGATGTTAAATCAGTACAGTAATAAAGTGACTGAAACTTTTTACACTGAATTCTTTGTTTTCTTCCAGTGGCTCCCTCTGTGCCGATCTGCAGCATCCAGGGAAAAGCAGAGTACGGGCACAACATCAGCCTCACCTGCATGTCTGAGGAGGGATCCCCAAAACCCACCTATAAATGGGCGAGCTACAGTGTTAAAAATGTTCCCAGAGACCTTCCACCTAGGTCATCTGAAAGTATGCATTTAAATCATCTACGTGTTACTTGGAAGCACACATTTTTTGGCAGCCTGCTGAAGAGTCGGCTTCCTGTTTGTCAGTGTTAATGTAAAGAATGACAAAATGGCTCATCATCTCAGGATTGTTTAGCCTAATTCTTCTTATTATGTTGCAGAGGATGGAGTTCTATCTCTCTACAATATTTCAAGAGAGATGTCAGGGTTCTACATTTGCACATCAACAAATCGAATCGGTTCTGCCAGTTACAACCTCACCTTAGCCGTGTTGCCTGGTGAGTGTTACAACATGATTTACCTGCTCACCTGTCACCAGTGAATCCACAGATAACTTCCACTTAATTCTGCTGTTGTACTCAGCTTCTATGAGCCTCTTATCCTCTTTTAGTTTTTGTGCCTCGTCTATTCCAGCACGCAGTTATTTTCATCACAAAAGCTCTACAGTACACTACACTCTTAGCACCAAATGGCAAGGGCAAAGATAGAAACAAGCTGGTAAACACTGCGGAGCATTTAGCCACTAAAATGCAAGATATTTCCCCCTGGGAGTCGGTGGAGACCGAAACAGAGTTAAATGGAGAGTGAATATTGGACTTACTTTCACCAGGTGACCAGTAACACAACTCCAAATGGATGTTAACGATCAACAACTGTCCAGCCCTAGATTAGCAACCATATAGTCATGGCGCTCCATCAAAATTTAGAAATTCAAAGTAATTTATAGGTTATACATCAGGGTAGAATGCCGTCTGGGTCCCCCCTGGTCTAGAACATCTACTGAATAGTATTTACCCTCTGAATGAAAGCCAGCTCTGGATGCTACTATGTCAGAGTTCAGTGTAATCTTAGCAGCTCTGTACTGATTTGGAGAAGCTGACACCCCAACAAAATCATTACCCAAGATAACATTACATTTGCCACATCGGTTATCCTTAAAGTCTTTTTTCTTGTAATGGTAAAAGTGAAGCATACAGTTCCAAAAGACAAACAATATCACACTACAAAACATACTATACTAATGAAAAATAGTTTTATAGAAGCTTGATTTGTAGAGGACTAGCCTCAAATATTTCAGACACAAATTTGAAAGTTCAGAATAGCTAATGAAGCTGTAAATGGAGGCAGAATGGAGATCTTACCCCTGGACTAAGTATGTTGAGAAAACCCCATGTCTTTCCTCCTTTCTCTCCAGGTAGCGTAGGAGAGGCGTCTATTGCAGTTGTAATTGGAGGAGTTGTCGCAGGTCTCGTGCTTCTGGGGATTCTCATCTTCTGTTGCTGCCGGAAAAAGGGCAAAAAGAACAAGTCCGCTGATAGGTATGTACTCTATGTTTCTGCCACTGTGAATCACCACCAACAATTGGTTTTGTTAGTGTATTGATTATTAGTATCCCTGTTTGTCTGTCTGCCCCCAGAGATGTGCAGTTTTTTGACAGAGATGAGTCGGAAGCTGGAGAGGAGTACTGGGATGACATGTCACACAGCGAGACAAAGAAGCACAAGCCGTATGAAGACAAAGGCGCTGTTCCTCAAAACAATTACATCGCAGGACCAGATAGACACAAGTTGGATGATGATCAACACAGTTATAGTGGTAAAGAAACGATTGATGTCAAGGGCAGTTATACTGACTCTCAACGTAACCAGGACGACCAGCATGATGACTATCGTGGTAGTCGTGATCGCCTTGACGATCAACGTGATCGTTACGGTGGCAGTCGTGATCGCCTTGACGATCAGCGTGATCGTTACGGTGGCAGTCGGGATCGCCTTGATGATAAACGTAACTATTACAGTGGAAGTCGTGACAGGCTCGATGATCAACGCGATCGTTATGGTGGAAGTCGTGATCGCCTTGACGATCAACGCGATCGTTCAGGTGGAAGTCGTGACCGCCTTGACGATCAACGCGATCGTTACGGTGGAAGTCGTGATCGCCTTGACGATCGACGCGATCGTTACGGTGGAAGTCGTGATCGCCTTGACGATCAACAAGATCGTTACGGTGGAAGTCGTGATCGCCTCGACGATCAACAAGATCGTTACGGTGGAAGTCGTGACCGCCTTGACGATCAACGCGATCGTTACGGTGGAAGTCGTGATCGCCTCGACGATCGACGCGATCGTTATGGTGCCAGTGATCGCGACGGTCGCAGTCGCGATCGCCCTGACGATCAACGCGACCGTTACGATGGAAGTCGTGACCGTGTCGTTTACAAGGACGATCAATACAGAAATTGATATGAATAATTTGTTACTGAATGCTCTTTTGAAATATTTTGTTTCTTTTTATGATGCATAAAAAGGAGTGTCTCATCACATCATAAAGAGCAATTCTGGGAAATGCCATAAATTCTCATGTAAAAGCCGGTATTAAAATAATAACGGGCGTTTCGTCCAACACAAACAATTAAAGGCCAGGTAAACAACACTGAGGGGGTTCACCTGGTATATTTAGCATGATGAGTATTTCGACTGCACTAATTTACTTCAATAACAGTCGTGTTGTAGTCACTGCTCTGCTGATCTTACTCTGCTTTAAAGCATTCATGTTTTAATTAATTGTTTTAAACAATCCCAGCTGTTTTTTCGTTACCCTACTCCTGTTCAATGCCAGCTACCGTCCACAAAACTCAACACTTTCATGTTTTTTCATATTAAAGGCCTCCCTATAAAGGAAGGCTGCAAGACTTTTACTGTGAAAATTCTGGATAAAGTACACAGTATCATTCACGGTACCTTGACATGGTTGGGTAGAAGTGGAACATCTGACATGACTCTTGCTATACTGACAGTTAATACTGAATTTATCAAGTAAGGTAAACAGGTAAACATGGTTAAACCAAATTAACTTGACAACTTTTGACCCTGAACACCAATCACAGTGTGACCTGAATAAAACAACATTATACTTAAAGTGGTAAACAAAATTGGTCATATAATGTATTGGTGTCCTAATATAAGAGGATAATTGATTTGAGTCGTTTACTAAATAGGCGCATCACCCATAGTCTCTATTGTTGACTGGGAGCATTAATCAGACTGGGTTGTAGTTAGCCATGTTATAACCTGACAATAACATTTTTAGCATGAATTGTGCTTGTTTGTATATCCACGAAAACCTGCCCAAATTTCACAAAATGTAAGTTGTCACATTTAGGGTACATGACTACTGCAGTAATTCCAGCATTGTCGTTAAAACATTATTTATGAAAATTCTAGTCACTCCATCATGTAAACTGTGTACATTATCTTTTATTTTAAGAGTTCTTAGTTTTTGAATCGAAGTAATGAATGTTCTAATTTTATTTCTAATGTGTGTGGTAAACATCTTTGTACAGCCAAACTAATAACATTTGTGCTTTGGTGTGTTTTTGTGGCAGTTTATACTGAAATTAAGTTTACTTGAAAGATTTTAGCTTTTTTTATTTCTATGTTTTTGTGTGATAAATGATTCCTATTGAATGTAAGCACTGCATTTTTCATATGAATCAAAGTCAAATCGAGTTCAATAAAGAAAATTGGTTTAAAAAAATGTTGCCGTTTTTTTTTTGTTTTTTTTTTGCAGTAAAATTCCTCAAAACTCACAACCAAGACTGTCCTGGTTATATCAACAATGTCTGCCCCCTCCCAGCTGCACACTCACACCGAACAGACCTCTCTTTCTGCCCGGTTAGCACTGCTGCTACACCTGCTTCAGAAACCTCAAAATTAGCTTCCAGCTGATAAACTAGCTAAAAAACAACAACAACTCTCCTACCTCTGCTCGTGTGTTTCACAGACAGACTGGCACCGGAAGCTGTGAGTCGTCGGGAGCGGGGTTGTGTTCGTGCTGGACTCACCTCTGTGTGAAGTGGTACAGTCCCGTTAGTCGTAGTCTGAGTCCTGTTTGCAGCAGGCGCAGTTAGCGGACAACGAGATGACCAACATGCGGATAAACTGTACTTTACTATAAAACGGACTTTATAATGAACTTTTACCAGCTGGCTGTTTTCCTGGGAGCATCATGTAAGTCTAATTTTCCTCTCTAAAACGTGCCATCTTTACGACAACAGCGCAACAGGTTGATCCAATGTAAACTTATTGCTTGTCCAGGCACCGTGGCTTCAAACCATAGCCTGTATGTAAAAGGCTTCAAACGTATTAGTTAAATTAAAACTTAATGTGCTTGTTTAATTGGGTCAATTAAGCGAGATGGGTTATATTTATTATAGAAACAGTTTGTCCCGTTTTTAACGATTTAATAACACATAAGGGGCTTTATGGTGCAGCCCTGGTAATCCTGGGATAGTGTGTGGTGATCAATATTGTGTTGACTGTACTTTATAGTATATGCTTCAGTATCTCCTCAGATATGATAATAATATTTTCTATGGACCAATCATTTGTGCTGTTACTGGCCTGTCTGTACAGGAAACTACTCTGCTTTACTCAATAAAAGCAGAATTGTACATTGTGAAGTACAATGGTCAATATTAGGGCTTTTACTTTATAGGTACACCCATGTAAAGCAGCAGGGATTAGTCCTGTAACTGCTTAGTCAATCAACAGGAAATGAATCTATTTTGATAATCGATTAATCGTTTTAATTATTACCTGCTCCCAATCTATATGAAGATATGATGCTTTTCTTTGTCGTTTATGATAGTAGAGTGAATATGTTTCACCTTTAAACTATTGGCTGTATACATTCAGGTATTTGAACACATCACTTTGGGCATTTTTCAAATCTTATGGCAATTTGTAGACTTGAATTTTCAGATGAAAATTGAAAACGAAAGTTATAGTTAGGTGCAGCTTTATTCCCAGGTGCAATCATGTACACAAGTTGCCGCAAATTTGTACAAGAAGGTGTCACTAAGTTCACATCAGTTCTCAAGAGGGCTGAAAATATACTTGTGATGGTACATGTGGAAGTAATGTACTCCTGTTTGCTGTAACATTGCAGTGTAATTCATTATCAAGCATGAAGACTGTATTCACTCTTATCAGTGTTTTTTGTTGCCCCAGTGAGTCAATGTGAAGGAATGCTTGTCGCAGAAAAGGCAGGAAATGTGACAGCTTTGGAGAGGAAAAGTCTGATCGTGTTCAGGAAACATGCAGCAGCAGAGCTTTGACCTGGAATACATTTGTGACCGCACACTGGTTTAAAAAGTAATCTCATCTCGAAATGAGGCCTTTAGTCTGCACATAGGTGGAGGAGGAGACGGTGTGCTGACTCTGCAACCTGTTCATTAACCTACAGTGACTCACACCTGATGTGAAGTTCATGTAAACAATAGTTAACAGGGAGTTAAAGGTGATGCATCCAGCAGTTTCTGTGTTTGTTTCTCCGGACTTCCTCTCACCTCAAACTGACGGCATTCATGCTGCAACGGTTTGGTTTAAATCTCTCGCTGATAATTGGTCTGTTCGCAACCAGCTGGACGAGGCCAGATACTCCCATTGGTTAGGAGTCTGTGACCTCCTCCCCCCTCTCTCAGCTCCTCAAGTGGGACAGGAGGAGGAGGGGGGCCCTAACAATGGACTGGTCCATGAAAAGGAAGAAACAAAGGGAAGACCAGTGCTCTTTCGTGGGAGGAATTTAGAGCTCGGTCACCCCTCCTCTTATCCTGTAAAATCATTTGGCTTAATCACCATCATCACTGTTTGTTCTGCACTTGTGTAGTTAAATTGCATCAGATAAGTCTAACCAAATGATGCTGATCTGACTGGGCTCAGTATGTCATGATGATGCATTGTGGGCGCTGGAGTTGAAACAATACATCAATTAATCCATTAGTCGACAGGCAGAGAAACAATCAGTAAGTGATTATTAGTTGCAGTAATTTTTCCAGCAAAAATGTCAATGATTCCCTGGTTCCAGCTTTTCACTTGTGAGCATTTACTGTTTTTTGTCAGTTGCACATCAATATTGTTAACTGAGCAGCTTCACTTAGCCGAACAAAATGATATCTGAAGACGTCAACTTGGACTCTGAGAAACAGTATTTCATAGACTAAACACCTACTCTTATCAAAAGAAATAATGCAACTTAATATTAAATTCATAATCTATCCACCCAGATGTCAGAAAATAGTGAAAAATGTCTATCACAATACTCCGGACATCAAAGGCGACAGCTCCAAGTTACTTGGTTTGTCTGGCCAATTGTTCAGAACCCAAAGATATTCCCTTTAAAATCATAAAAAACAGAGAAAGGCAGAAATAGGTCATGTTTGGCATTTTTGCTTGAAACCATGACTCGATTATCAAAATAGTCGTCCAAAAGGAACTGATACAGGAAATAATAGTTAGCTGTTGTACTGTGGCGGCCTGCTCTCATTCTAGAAGGAAACCAGGAAAAGCATCCATTTTAGATAAACACGATAAACACACGCTGTGCGCTCCTCTCTCTGGTCCAGTGGAGAGGCAGGCTGGTGGACTTGCTTTTGTTTTGATTTCCTGTCTTCTGGGGGAATGTTTAGAGTGAGTTCCTGCCCCACCTAGAGCTAATATGACTAGCAGAAAGCACCCACGCTCCATCCCCTCCCTCTGTGATGACAACCCCCTGCCTCTCCACAGGCCTCCCAGCCCCCCACACACACTGGAATTTAACCTTCCTGACCCTGGTACCGAGAAATAGAGGAGCCCCCCACACACCTAATCTCTGTTCCTGTCTTTTCTCCTGCTTTGATATGACACAAATGACTGTATCTCCCAGGTGCAGAGTCATCATGGATGATCTATGCGGACAAACGAGAGACACAGCTGTTTTTGCAGTAATCAAGATGTCAATCGTGCTTCCTTTTTCCGGTCTTTAAACTGTTTTTGTCGGCGCTCGGTTCCCACCTTGCAGAATAACACAGTAGAATTCAGCAGCACCACAAACTGCAGCCACATTTTTCAAGTCAATCTTAAAACAACACTCACAGGCCAATACAAGATGCCTTCCTGATGCAAGGGGTCAAATTCACCAGCCTCACTCTGTGCATAAATGCTTTCTCAAGTTCACCCGGAGCTAATATGGAGCCTCAGCAGTCTGAGTCAGACAAACCAGGTAGGTGTCAGTTACAGTCTTTTGAGCAGCAAATTTTCTGTTGATGTTACTATTCCTCCATCACATTGCTACAAGAAAACACAATGCTGAGAGAGGAAACTTCAGACTAACAAGACTGTAACTTTGGAAGATACCGGCTTGATTAGTGTAACTCAGGCTGCTGAACCTCACATTAGCTTCAACTGAACTCTAGGAGTTGTTTTTGCACAGAGTGATGTGCGTCACTTGCACCAGCATCACATTAGGAAGGGATCACTTGCTGCCAGTATGGACAGAAGTATGGCCACCAGAAACTGTTGCCATGGGCTTCACAGTATGTGAGTATTGAGAAATGTAAAGCCTTTAAACAAAAGTTGGACCTTATGTGTGGACCTTTATGAATGTAGGATTTATTGCAGGACTGTTGAATTGGACTGCATTAGTTTTAGCTATTTATACTTACTAAACTAAGGCGGTGAATGTGGTTTTTCTAGATGCCAATCCAACGCTGTGCATGGCGTTAGCTGCTCTGAAGAGTCACATCACATGTTCAGGTGTCAGACTAAAGGCTCATATTCGTCTCTGTTTGTCTGAGAGTGAAATTTCAACACTTTCAGCCGCTGCACTAATCACCATTCTGTCCCCGTTTGCTTTGTCTGTGTCAGTGTGTGTGTGCGATGGTGTCCATGTCATAGTGCGAGAGAAGCAGCGGTTTGCGATGCTCTTCCAGTCCGTGGTCCTCCCATGTCAGTACCAAACGGCCTCCACCCAGACCCCGGTGGTGCAGTGGTGGTACAAGTCCTACTGCAGAGACCGCACTCGAGAGTCCTTCACCCTGCCGGAGACTCTGGCCATCCAGACCTCCGAGATGGGAGCCACGTCCCACCTGGAGTGTTCCGACAGCAGCCGCACAGTCCGGGTTGTGGCCTCGGCGCAGGGAGCCTCCATGACGCTGGCTGAGCACTACAAAGGCAGAGACATCTCCATCATAAACAGTAATGTGATCATTCTTATCCTCTATGAGAAAGATATGACTTAATGAGAAAGAGTTGCTACAGCTGTTTGAACACCGCACCCTGACACTCATCCCAGAGCAGGAATCACAGCTGACTGTGCTTTGTGTTTCCTGTTCTCTAAATAAACTTCTTTTGTCTTTGTCTTACAATAGAGCAGGCATCACACGCTCATGCGATCACCACCTCCTGCTCTCACTCCCATTCATCCATGGACTCCTTTTAAACCTCAAGCCTTATCAAGACAAAACACTTGTTTTCTATCTACATGTATTAGTGGAACAAACCACATTCAACAATGCTCTCCTGTCGTCATTCAGCACCGTTAAGAAATACTGACGCAATAAATTAATTGTTTGTCATCACTTAGTTCTATATGTAAGGTTTTTCTTGTTATTTACATGGAAACATTCTGTATTTAGTTTCATCTTGGTTTTATGAAGGTGACAAATTACAAAAGTTTAATCACATTAGTGCTGAAGCAATTAGTTGATTAATTAATTGGTCTTTTGAGAGCTGATTTAAGTAATTTATTCAAGAAAAATGGCATGTGTTTTCTGGTTCCAGGTTTGCTAATGTGAGGATCTGCTGTTGTGCTGTCTTTTATATTATTGTGAATTGAATACATTTGTGTTGTGGACTGTTGTTCGGACAAAACAAGCAGTTTGAAGAAGTCTTTCTTGGGCTTTAGGAAATCGTTATGGGCATTTTTCATATTCTTAGAGACCTAGCGATTGATCAACCTAAAAAATAATCAACAGATTAATACATAATACATAATAATGATATGAATACAGTATGTTTTACTTGGTGTCAAATTGCAGGTATATCTTGTATTCATGCATTAATACACGTGTGTCAGTGTGTTGTGCACCCACAACCTGATGTGATAAGAACTTCAAAGAGGAGTCATTTACTGTGCTTAAGCATATACAGACTTGAAAATGGTACCAAGGTAAATATGTCAGAAAATGACATTTCAAAGGAAAGACAAAGATCAGGTCACTACAAACTTACTGCTGAGCACCGTACAAGAGCTCTGTCCTGATAGAACCACTAAAAGAAATGAGTAATAGATGGTGAGTCATTGATCACAAAAGTGTTTCATTTTGTAGTATTTGCTCTCTGACTCTGCTCAAAATCTCATTAAATAGAAGCAATGCTCTATAGAGGATCATTTTGAATTCACAACTGCAGCGATTAAACACTCAAATGCCATTTGACCCTCTCAACTCTCGCAGTATGTGTGACCTTGTTTCTTGTCTCTGTGCAGAAGCAGACCTGAGGATCGGGGAGCTGCAGTGGGGCGACAGTGGAGTGTACTTCTGTAAAGTCATTATTGCTAACGACCTGGAGGGGGTGAACGAAGGCCAGCTGGAGTTACTTGTGCTAGGTATGCCTGCGCTTCATTTCTCTACTAAAGGAATGACATGACTCAGACTCACTCCGAACCTGATCACGATCGGCTGGCTACAGTTGTCTTTGTTTATACGTTTGTTTGTTCGCATATTAATCTCAGCGAGCTGTCTTTCTATAGGTTGGTAAAGGTTTTAGAAATGTCTTTTTGTCTCCTGCATTCCAAAGTGTCCGTACAACAACTTCCATGGAGACGGCCAAATGGTGCTTGCCTCTTTACATGGTCCTGATCCTCCATGACAGACGCTATTGTTTGTCCACTTTAGAGGGCTGACGTGGACTTGGCTGGACTGTACTTTAGGTACATCTTAAGTTAGTTGGACACTGTTATTGTCAGGGCTGTGCAGCTCTTAAGACTATATGGGATCATACTATACAATATATAGCAGTTTTTGTTTGGGTGTGTTACATTTGCTCATTGTAGTTTGTGTTTGTTGCTGATTAAAGCTCTTGTCTCTGCGCCGAACAGCTAATATTTCAATGCTGAAGATCAGAGATTCACCATCTACTGTTAATGAAACCTTGAAGTAGCACGTCCACTCACTGGGAGAGAAATTATGGAGACCATTGTTGCCAAAGCCACTCCTTAAGCTGTTACCATGGCAACGTGCTTTTTCAGAGGAGACAGGAGCATGTTAAGGGTTGCTGCTGGTGCACACATGAAGAGAGAGTGAGAGAGAGAGAGAGAGAGAGAGAGAAGGGGCAGAACCAGGCTGAACTCTAACAACAGTGTGATCTGAAAGTTACCCAAAACGGTTTTCTTCCTTTAAGTTAAGACTGACACGATGAGCTCGCAGTATCAAAGTCTGCTCATTCATATGGGCTTCCTTGGCTGTGCGCTAATCTGATTATAACAAGCTCACAGGAGAGAAGGGGGGTGGGGGGGTGAGAATAACAAGACTACACTGTTTTTGGTACTAGATTTCATTTTTTTAGCATTGCCACGTTGCAGCTACAAAGTTGGAATTACAAAGTGTGTAAAACCACTCCAGCGCATAATTGGCATTTCAAAGTGTTTCAGCACCAACTTGTGCTGTTTCTTCTCTCAACATCTCCCTAATCTCTGGTTTCATTTTTCTTTAGGATTTATTTTTCACAATTTTTGTTCGCCCTTTTTTCCTTGCAAAATCTTCACCCGCGCTCCTCCATTACTCATTCCTCGACCTTGCATGCTCTCCCTGCATCTTTCACTGCCTCCCTCCCTCTCAGGGCTGCATAGCTCCTCAGCTCTCTCAGGTTACTCAGTGTTACTGAGCTTCATGGTATTTAGATGAGTGTGCCAGGCCAGTGTATAGTAAGAATACTTATTTTATCAGGGAAGGGTATGCTGTGTTGTTTTCCCCCTCCATAGAAACAGCATACTCAGCACACTCTGAAGCCTGACTGCCACCGAGTGTTAAGTCTCTCCCTGTAGTCAGACAGATCAGACAGTGACTGGACTCTAATTATGGTCTTTTGCCACCTCATGATAAACACACACCAGAGACATGAACACCTGCAGTGTTGTTTCAGTCTCAGCACACCTGTTGCAGTCCCTTTGCTTTTTTTGTATTTTTCTTCTTTTTATTCTAACTACCTTGAATTTTTTTGGTTTTCTCATTTTGACCTCTTTGTCTTGTATATGTAGGACAAAAGAGACATTGTTTCACAACGGTACAACTTGTTTGACCTTTTTTTGATGAGCTCCCATGGTAAATTGTTGCCCTAGAATCGTTATGTGCCCCAGTTTCCCAAACCCCCACTTCGTCCTCACACGCTGCTTTTGTTGGCACCTCTTGATGTGTGTGTGTGTGTGTGTGTGTGTGTGTGTGTGTGTCGGTGTGCATGTTACATGTATAGCGGCTTGTGCATTCATTCATTTGTGTGCTGTTTACAGAGGCGTATGTTTGGTATGCACCTTATCACAGAAATATAGCGCAGCAGGCCTTCTGCTAAAACCAGATTTAAAGTAAGATAAGTCTGACCTTTGAACTCTGAACTCTGACTTACATTACTTATGTTTATGTTCATAGGTTAGAAGTTTTAGACTTTATGACATCATATTTTAGTTTTAAACTTTATGACATCATATTTTAGTCGCACAAAGTCTGGACACGAAAACATATCAGTGAGTTTACAGCCATGCTAGCTGTTCTGTGCTGGCCCAAGGTACGGCGTTGGTTTGAGTGAAATGCTAACATCACCATGCTAACATCCTCACAGTGACAATGCTGAGACACTAAAGTTTAGCAGGTATAGTATTTAACTTGTGCACCATTTTAGTGTAGCCTGTTAGCATGCTAACATTTACAAATTCATGCTAAACACAAAGTACAGCTGAGGCTGATGGGAATGTCAGGTATTTAAACCAAAGTATTCTGGCCAGTCTGAAATTCTGACCTTATGGCGGCGCTAGATGAAAAAAACCACAAATATCAACCTCACTTATGTGGACAAATACATTTAATAAACGCTAATGCTTTGTTACGTTGTGTTTGTCGATTGTGTAAAAAGTTAGTCCCTTCAGTTCTTCAATTACTGCATGACCGTTAATCATCCACTCTGCTACCCTTTGATTCTTGCTTCCTGCTTCCTCTGCCGGCCTTCACCTGTGCTCTCCCTCTCTCTGCAGGCAGGACAGGTGAGCGGGACGATATCCTACCTGAGTTTGATGTGGAGATTATGCCAGGTACGGCACCTCACCTGCACTTTTGTCTCACTGCCTGTCATCTTCTAGCTTCCCTAATGCTGCCTAATGTTTAATTCTCACTGACCAATCAAAACTCTCTTTGACTAACAACGGTATAATCATGAGCCTGTGTCGACACTGAACTTTTATCCAACGTTTGTTACGGTCAGACTGACGAAGCATTGCCAGTCACAAGATCTAACCCCACCTGAATATATACACAGACAGCTGGTTACGAAGCAACGTAAAGCAAAATTCACCGACTTATCTTTTACCTCAGGTCATGATTTGATTTCCACAGAGGATGTGTGGTGACTTACTGAGGGACCTTGAGTTGATTTTGCTTTTCGGCACGCCCTGAGGAAGTGTGTTGTTAAAGTCTGGATGTTAAAGAGATGTGAAGATGGATAAGAGTCACTTAGAGTTCCCTCAAGATCCCCTGATGTTTCCTATTTTAGTGTTCTGTGGTTGTTGGATAGTGTTTTGGAAAGACACAAAAACTTGTTTTAAAAGAAGATTGTAATGAACGACAGCTTTGGTGTAGTGTTGGCCAGCATTTCAAGCTTGGTTCTAGTTACGGTGATATTATACTCACCAAAGAAACTTCTGAGATCTGCAAACATTCAAGTTAAAACAAAGCACCGGAGGAGTTTAAATTTTCAGATGCTGCAACGAATCATCCCTCATTTCACACAATAAAATGGTGCACACACATGTGAGGCAAGTTCAGTTGCCCCGAGAAGCCGCTGTTTAAACTTTGATGGATGTTTACAAAGGACAGTTCTCTTATCTTTTTTTTTTTAAATCTTCATTTTATCGTCCACATTAAGTTTAACTTACCCTAACATTTGTTAGAGCCTGTATGACTTTTTTTTGCCCCATCTGACTTATTTTTATTGATGTCAGTAGGAATGACAACCATGAAAATACAACCCAAAGTTCTTATCCTTTGAAGAGCAACTTAACTTTTTGCTGACCTCCAGCGGTTCCCGGGGTGTGTCAGCACCCTGTGACATAATTTAAAAACAGTTTAAAGCTTCTGTATGACTTTGGAGGTTGTCGAGCAGAAATTGTTGCTTCATCTGTACGTCTTATTTTTAACTTTTGTGAGGGGAACTGAAACAGAGTATTTGTTCTTCTTTTTTGTGTGTGTGTGCATGTGTGTGTGTGTGTGTGTGTGTGTGTGTGTGTGTGTGTGTGTGTGTGTGTGTGTGTGTGTGTGTGTGTCTATTCCAGAGTGGGCGTTTGTGGGATCTGTAGTCCTGGGCAGCATCTTGTTCCTGTTGTTGTTGGGGATCTGCTGGTGCCAGTGTTGTCCCCACTCCTGCTGTTGCTACGTCCGCTGCTGCTGCTGTCCTGACACCTGCTGCTGCCCACGACACCGTGAGTAACGGAAACAACTACACCACTTACTTAAAAACATGACCGTCTTTACTTTGTGTGCATTCTCAGGATCAACTTCACCTCAATCGCTCTGCACGGAAGGTTTACTGTTTTGTTGTTCTCCTGTGCAGTGTATGAGGCAGGGAAGCTGGCAAAGAGTAGACAACCGCCCCAGGTTCCTGTTTATCCCTACTACATCCCTGGTGTCCCTACTGTGGTCCCTCTTGCCCCATCATCCCTTGTGGACCCAAAAATCCCCTCTATACCCTCAGTGGAGAATAACCTGGCTGGAGGTGAGTGTCATCAATGTAGCTGATATGGTGCAAAGATATGAGAGAGCTCTGTAACAGCCTGTTTTCAGCAACACTGACTTGACTAACCCTCATTTCATTGGTCATTTTTCATCTTCAAGTCTGTCTCTAATCTGAACAGAAGCCGTCTGCCGGCAAACATGCATGTTTGTTGTTTAAATCAAATCTTAACATGTTTGATTTTGGTTGTTAGTTTTTGCCTTGCATCACACACTCAAGTATAGTGTGTGTGTTCGTGTGTGTGTGTGTGTGTGTGTGTGTGTGTGTGTGTGTCCACAGTGCACAGTGGTTATCGACTGAAAGCCAGTCCAGACAAGGACTCAATGAAAGTTCTGTACTACATAGAGAAGGAGCTGGCTCAGCTTCCCTCTGCCAAGATGGCTGCACTCAAACGTAAGCCTGCACAGATTAGGCAGTGTGTCAGTGTGACAGTGTGTGTGAGTGTGTGTGTGTGCGCGCATGCAAGTGTGTGTGTGTGTGTGTATTTGTCCAAATGTTTCTCTTTTATGTGCATGGATTGTGTAAAATAACTAGTGCTGCTCTTCATGTAACCCTTACATTCATTTCATAACATCTAACTGAAAAGAGTTGTATGTAGGGTCCCACTTTGTTGTAATGTGTCAGTAACTTTCTACTACTACTTCTGGGTTCTGTTGTTTGCAGCAAACATTACTAAGACAAACGAAAATAGTGCATTTGTTGGGAACTATTTTCATTGGTGAATCAATACATATTTGGTGAGTATTTAGTGCAGCAGGATGGTGGGACGGACTCAAAATAAAACTACAGTTCCCATGTTTATTGTAATGAAGGAACATGTCACCCAGTGCAACAATGTGGCTCATTTGTGTGTTGTTAATAGTTTTGGAGGTTTTTGGAGCTCTGTGGCACAAAGGACTAAGATGTATCTGTAGCTTTCACTACACAGGAAATACTTATTGGTCATTAACTATGTTGTTAATGAATTTGTTGGAAAAAAGAGGACTAAAGAATAGATATATCCTTTCAGTTGGGTTGTGAAAGTAGTTGGAGGTGGCACGAGATGCGTCTGCTCTCAGTAATTTGCAGTCAGTTCATGATTATTATTTTAAAGTCAGTATGTACCATGCTTTTATCCCAGACACCTTCACTCAGTACTTCTAGCTGACCACTTCTTATTCTGAAATGTTTGACTACAACATTTCACAACATCCCTGAAAATTGTGAAATGTATTTTTATCATAAAAATAGCAAATGTGATTTCAGTGATGTGTCTGTCGCAACAGCCAGTAGCCTGTCAGAGCTGAGCTCTCTGCATGATGGAGGGACTACAGACTTCAGACACACCTATCAGACGGTCCAGATGAAGGCGCTCCCGCCCATCGCAGATCTAGATGACCAGTCGGTGGTGAGAGCAGCTCCACCTACACAGAGTCGGAGGCCCAGACGGGACAGGGGACACCTCTCAGACGATGAACTAGACAGAAGGTAGAGTTTCATTATATGTTCCTTGTGTTATTTATCATGTGTTAAGAGAGTAAAGGTCCCATGAAATGTTATTGTTAATTGGTACAGGCCAGGAAGCGGAGGACTATTACAACATTTCTAACTTAAATTTTCATGACATCACCACTAATGATGCACAGTTTTCCTAGAGGTTTCAATTTTCCAAGAAGTTCAAGTGCCCATAAATGGGATCTTTGAACTTGTGACACATGCAACCTCTCATTTGAACACCATGCAAATCTAAATTTTTTTAGTTTGAACTCAATGTCACTCTGTGCTGAGTTGTGCGCTCCTCCTTGCTGTAGGTGGAACCCTCGCTCAGAGCACCTGAAGAGAAAGACGCTGAGCAGAAGAGGGCGCACCGGCTCCCTGGACGAGCTGGAGGAATTTGCCCGCTCTTACGGCTCCCGCGTTCGACGGGCTGAGCCTCCAGACCGGTTCTATGGTCGGGATTATAGCCCTCCAAGGCGTTTCTACAGAGATGAAGATGATGACTGGGGGCGCCGCAGCCCCTCACCTTTACCACAAAAGAGAAGGGACACATGGGACAGTGACCGCCCCTCTCGGCCGCCCCAAAGCAGAGGATACGATGACGCCTTCCTCAACAATGTGCTGGAGAGCAAGGCGAGGGGGCAGGGAGGGGACAGAGGTGCTGGGAGGATGGACGAGGACAGTGACACTCCCTCCAAAGGCAGCTCCAGAGGAAAGGGCAGCAATAGTTACTACAGCCGGTCGCCTAGCAACCGTCCAGAAGAGGAGGACCCTTTGCCTCCGTACTCTGAGTGGGAGGCGGAGCGGTACCGCAGGGCTGACCTGACCACAGACCGGTACCGCACTGCAGAACCTCCCAGATCTGAGAGATACAGGACCACTGAACCAGCCACGAGGCCTTTCTCTTACACCCGCCCCCACCAGGGAATGTCCCATACACTGCAGGGGGGAAGAGAGGAGAGAGACAGGAGCCGAAACCTGGTGAGTTACTTGTAGCAGGAACAAGGACTTCCTTCCTCTTCAGCTCTTCAGGAAAGGAGCCTCTAAATCCTGTAAATATTTACAGGGTAAGGCTGGTGATATTCTACATTTCTCATATTGTCAACAAATGCCATGAAAAAACAAAAGTATCCAAAGACTGATGCGGCCTGTTGCTCTCCCATTATTGTCTATAAACTATTAATAAAACATCAGTGAGACGCACAGTTGCCATAAGCATAACTGTTCTTTACAACAGTACACCCGTACAGGAAGATAAAACTAGAGGGGTTTCCCAAAAACAGAGAATAGATACTATAATTCAGCTGTTGAATCACATTGTTTCAGTGCAGACTGGTAGCAAACACTCTGAGGCCTGGTAATGGTCCACAGCCCGGGGGTTGAGGAAAACTGCACTTGCCCACCAAATATGTATTAATCCATGGCTAAAAATAGTCCCCAACAAATGCACAATTTACTCCTGTTTGAGTGATGTGTCCTAAAACACTAGTCCTCAGCCCTTTTAGGATATCAGTAAGCTTTTTAAAAATAAAACTATGAGATGTCGTGCAATCCGAGAAAGCTGAGTTGAGGGCAACTGGACTTGGTTTCACGTCTCACCTCTGATCCAAGAGGCTTCTTCAGTATAAAATGTGGAGACTGACCGTGTAACTGCAGAATCCTTGGTTCAAGTCCAGCTGGGACTTTTGTTGCATGTCATCCTTTCTTTTATCTCTCCTCCCTAATTTCTTCTCAGCTCATCGTATTTATCAGATAAAGGCAAATGCTTCCCAAAAAAACCTTTTTCTAGAGTTACATGTTCAGTAGGAATCAATAGTTATTGCTCAGCACTGAAGAGAGGTGAGGGAAGTCAAAAAAGTACAGAGAAACATTATTAGTGTTGATCTTTTCATGGGATTTGTTGACAGTAAGAATAAAACAGAACAGCAACAGCCTCGTACTCACATGTTGTTAAATGTTTTACAGTATTATGTACATAATCTGATTCTCTACTCTCTTGTGCAATTACATGCAAGATTTATGGTCTTAACACTGACTCATTATAACTTAGTTCCTACATGATTTTATATAAGTAGCTGTAACACTTTTGTATAAATCAGAAATGAATGAAAGAGAGCGACTGAAATTACTACACATTTGAATCTGTCCATGCTTGCAACCTAACCGTGTTACAACTGCTTACTTTCTGGCTCCAAAACGACATATATGGAATCAGTATCACAGGCAATACTAACAAGGCTTGAGCTGCATGGTTTCTGTGAATTGTAGTAAAGCTTGGATACCTCAGGCATCAGGCTGGACTAACCCTGCATGAGCATGAACGCGAAGTCTCTAATGTGTGGCTCTCGGTGTTTCCCTCGACAGAGCACTGCACTGAGCAGGGACTCTCTCATAGTGTGACAAGGTTTCCCAGCCTCCAGCCGCACAGCACTGCTAGTCCGTTCACTTTAAGCCGCCCTGTGGCTACGCAGGAGGGGATAAGTGTTCTACCGTCAGCCTCATGAAGTCTTACTCATCTCACTGAAATAACTGCACTGAAAAACAACGTTAGTGGATGGAAAAAGGAGCGTGCATGAAGCAGCATGTTTCTGTTTTTACTCAAGTGCATGACTTACACCTGTGTATTTCTGCACGTGTGTGGTGTACAGATGTTGTGTATGTGTCATGTGGATCAGTTTTATTTGTTGAGTTTGATGAGTCCAGTGACTGGATTTACTTGACACCAGTGCCAAGATGTGTGTTTTTTTTTTTTTTAATTATTTGCCAATTTCAGACTGGACTTTTGTAAACTAAGCAGGACTCCACAGTTGTTTTATTTCCCTACAGTCTTCATACTCAGTACACTGCAACTCAGGTTCACTTTGTATGTGTGTGTTTGTCTGTTGTTGATATTGTGCTGTGTGTAAGTACTGTACCTTGAATTTGCTCTGCAGATTTTAATTGCACTGCTTAAATACTTTTTGAATAAAGAAAACACTGCTGAAGTCTTCGCTGTCTGACTTGATTGTATTTATATGTATTTGTCCACACTTCCCCACTGAAAGTAATGTAGCTAATATAAGTAACTATAATGTTAATGGTTTGGCTTCACATATGAACAACACAACTGTTTTGACAAGATTGTTTTTTATATAAAATACCTGTTGTCTGTCACACAATTTGATCTTTGAGTGGCTATTGTGTTTGATAATGTGTGCGATAATGTGTGTGTACCTTGGACAAAGCCTGTGTTTTTTTTTTATCTTGGCTTATCAAATATACACACTTAAATAAACACTGGAGCTTTACTGAAACCGCCATCTACACAGTCGGCACACGTTACCGCTCATGTAAAGTGTGTGTCGTGCTTTAAAATGTTTATAGAAAGTATTTTGAGGGTGTGAATGGGCTACATGGCATCATGATCTCACAACGTTTACAGAAGAGCTACACGGTGTAGACGGACTGGGCCACAGGTTTAAAGAAGACAGGCACATTTATAAAATCAGTCAAATCTGTTAAGACTCATATTTAGAGCCTCCATTCTTGGCAGTAATAAAGGAGCATCATTTGTGGTCATTTTGTGTCTCTTTGTTAACATTATGTGTCACCTTATGTTCATCTTGAATGCCTTCGTAGTTGTTTGTGTCTCTTTGTAGTTGTTTTGTGTCTCTTTGAGGTCATTTGATTTTACATTTTATAACACACCCTGGAAACTACAGTGTAAATACTTTGTACAAACTAGACACAGAAAATGAAAGGTACTGCAGGCCACGTCGTCTCCAGATGCTGACATGGAGGGACTTTAAAAAGTGACACAGACACAGATGTGGTGGCAAAGCTTTTCATCCATGCAGCATTTTTCACAGGACTTGAAGAACACTTCAGGGAGCTGAGAGCAGCACTTGAGCTCAGCTCAGGCGGGCTTGTTTTGTGTCAACAATAAAGCTCACCGGGGTCTATGTCCTGGATAGGAGATAAACATGCTCGCACAAAGAGCTCCAACACTCGTTCAACATGACTCATCCTGAGAGTGAACTTTACACTCGGGCTGTTTGCCACAGGTGAATAAATGAAAACCACCGTGCCAGTCAAGCTGACGTGCTTCTACTTCACTTGATTTACATTCAGATTAGGCAAGCTTCTCTCTTTGTAATTTAACTGTTTTATTTTTTTGTTTGTTTGTTTTTTTTGTTCACATACTGAAGGGCGAGCAAGCCTGAGGATTGATGGAGTGGATTTTCACATCACATTCACATAAAGAGTGTATTCAGCTGCCAAGTAAACAGCATTTGATTACACTCATTAGTGAACTCACCAAAACACAGCAGGGAACAGAGTATTTACTGATTAATAAAGCAGTGATTTACTAATCAAGCTGTCTGTTTCTCCACTGTTACTTTTTTCCTGGTAAAGTTTTTTTAATAAGTAAAAGTGCTGCTTTAAAGATGTTACTCAAGTAACTAAGTCTATCATTATATGACTGTATTATTATTCTTGATGCCTTAACGTGTAAGAAACATTTTTCTGTTGTAGTTGGTCGAGGTGGAACTAGAGGAGTTAGGGACTATTTTATATATTGTTTAGTCTATAACAAGTAAATGTACAGAAGTATTAATTATTTAAAAAATGTAAATGAGCTTATTGAACAAAGTGGTTAATTTGAGAAAATAAAGGTTACACGGCACAGATGAATAATTTGAGGGCACATTAATTACCTTGTAGCTCTCTTTTAGGACACTGTACTCTTCCTGCTCTATCTTATTTCCTCCTTGATGCACCTGTCAGAGGGGGCGGAGTCAGTGATGTCACCTGAAGCTGGAGGGGTGGGGGACCATCCACCTTCGACGCTGACTGTTTACGGGGAAAGAAGTTCGTCTTTCAGCCCAGAAAACAAACAGGCCTGACCAACATGTCGTCTTAGGAGAGAAGTGGGAATACTATGCAGAGCAGCGGCTACATGACGTCTTTCTACAAATACTCGAGGTTTTCAGTGGATTTTGAATCGCCCACAGGATAGAGAGCGACGCTTCCGCGGAAGTATAAAGAGCAACAAGATGGGAAATGTGATACTGATGGTGCTTCTGCTGGTTCACCTGCCAACAGGTGAGGCTTTAAAGTCATTCCAGGAAACACGCTTTTTGCTCAAAGTTTATATTTTATACACGTATCGTCTGCTTTTTCTGTGTATAGACAGGAATGTAGCGAGAGGCCACCTCAGCAAACAGTCGAAATGGACAGTAATGTCGGTGTACAAGTTAATTATCGACAGGTACCAACAGCACAGGGCCGAGTCACGTGACTACACAACGCTTGTCCTGCGTAGACTGTATTTCCTTTAAAATAACATGTTTAAACTAAACAAATTTGTCTTTCACTGCACGTGCCAAGTCTATCTAATCTGGGGCTTTATTTTCCAGTGTCTTAAAGTTCAGGAGGATGTTATCATACCAAATATGACGAAACTGAAAATACACATCTTGATATATGGAGTATTTGGGGAGTGAAGGTGATAAGTGAGCCATCCACCCAGGACCTCCATAACTCTGACCCAGAATGGTCTGACAGAGGTTCATCCCCTCAAACAATGTGGAAAACTTTCCTCTTCCATTCTGCACCTTCAGCACAAATGATCCCCTACAAGTTTTATTACTGAAGTGTGATAATATCTGTGTGTAATATCTTACATGGTGTGAACATGGTGAACTTCCACTTTGCTCATTTTATTCATCATTAAGCACATTTTGACAAGATTTTAATCAAAAACAAATGTTGGATACAGAAAGATTCTGCTGAAATCAGGGGATTTGTCATCAAAGTAACAACTAATGTTTGTTTTCATTATAGATTGATCAGAGGAGTACTTTGCTGATTTTTTTAGTCTTTCCTTGCTTTCTCAAATCTCAAAATTGATAAAAAAAAATACCCCCTAACATAACAGTTTAAACCCCTAAAACATTCAGTTTATTATCTACATAAGTCTAAGGAGATTAGCCACAGAACTTAATTATCTCCATTTACATAGATGAGAGGACTCTGTAAACCTCTCAGCTTCATGCAAATCAACAGTTGTTGATCATAACTCTTCTGAGATCATCTTTTTTCATGAGGCATGGTTCACATCATCAGATGCACACTCATAGTTGTGGAGCTCTAACCACACCTCTGACTGGGATTCATTGACCGGATTCCAGACTTCAATTAGCTTTTGTTGTTCAGCTTTTTAAAATGTCCTCTCAAATAGTAAAATGAATATCTTTGGGTTTGGGATGATTGCTTGTGCCAAATAAGCTATTTCAAGATGTCAACTTGAGCTCTGGCAAGTTCGGATTTTGTGGCATTTTCATTCTTTTCTGGTATTTAATAGATAAAATATGAGTCAATTCCTTAAGAAAATAATTGGCAGATAATGAAAGTGATAATAAAAAATGTTTTTATTGCAGTCTAGTTTCAATAGATATAAAATATAATTGAAAGTTGAAATAATTCATATATTTTGAGGCATAAATCAAAGAAAACTGCTAACACCTGTTGAAATAGTTGTCCACAGGATTTTGGACAACTACTTCAAAGGGGAAAGTGTGAACTTTGCCCTTAAACCTTAACTGATGCTTTTCTCAATTAGCAGCTTGTTTTCCTTTCTCTCTGAATCACTAATCATGATTGGCAGGTGTCTTCTAATGAAATAGTACAATGCGTGCATGGTTTAAGAGTAAACTGTTAACCAGTCTGGTCAGATTCTTGTCACTCACAGCATTCAAGAGCAAAGCTGTGACACAAACACACAGGAGTTTTTCTGTTTAGAATGACAGTAATTTGAATTTTACATTTTATCTTCCATGTTATCTCACTGTCCTTCTTCCTTGTACCAGAGCTGCTGTCCATCCAGGTGATAGTTCCAGAGACAGAGAGGCGTACGACTCTGTTCGCCTCAGTGATTCTGCGCTGTGACTACACAACCTCAGCAAACCCTCAGGACGTCCTGGTCACCTGGAGATACAAGTCCTTCTGTAAAGACCCAGTGCTGGAGTTCTACTCTACAGGTGAGGCTATATGTGGAAGAAGACTGTGATTATTAAAGTGCCATAATGTAGCTGAATCACAAGATGGTGATTAAAAAAAAAATGTTAGGAAGTTTCACTTGACACAGTTTTTTCTTTAGAGGACAGAAAACTAATTTAGTTTTTTCTTAGTTTTAAAAATGGCAAATATTGTGTTGAAGCAGCTTTTAGAGTTCGAAGGCTTAAACTATATCCAGCCAACCCTGTTGTCCAGTTATAAACCACTAATATGCAACCGATTGAATTCTGTTTTTTATCATCACAATGAGGAAACATTTCATGAACATGTCAGTTAAAAAATATTCCCCGACAACATTTCATCAGTTTTCCCTGTAATATCAGCTCTTGCAATGCAATATCTACTTGGTGCAATTGAAGTATGATAAGTATTTCTTCATGGTTGTGTTCAGGTGCTCAAAAAAACACTGTGCATAGCAGTATTGAGTAGTACTGACACTGATAGATAATAAATTGAACCTTTTTCACCCTTGTCGTCTGTGTTTTTGAAGGTTATCAGGCTGCTCTGCAGCTGGGTCAGGACCCCTCCAACGACTGCCCGGACCGCCAGCGCACAGTCCGCACAGTGATCCAGAAGAGAGGCATTAGTGAGCCAATACTGGGTGCAGACTACAGAGAACGCAAAATCACCATTCGAAACAGTGAGTTTGATCCCATCATAACAACAGTGTTGATATTTCAGTCGGCTGCATATATCTGCATAGAAATCAAGATAAAATAATATACTTCACTCTGTCATACTCATTCTCTTAGCTAGGAGCTTTTATTATGGTTTGTGAACGTACTGTATGTGAACAGAGAAGTATTTGTATAATTACTGAGTTTATTAGCACAACTGGAGAAGCTATTGCACCTGACGCAAGACACTAGCAAGCATAGAGTATCTATTATGTAACATCAACCGAAACAAGATACTCGAGAATCCA